ACCTACATGTTTGTTTCCCCACATGCATACAGTGTAGTGACACTGTAATAAGAAAAAAATCCAAAATAATGGTAAGGTAAATGATCCCAAACTATGGGATTCATGGAAGGCTTAACTGCGATCCTCCAGTTTAGAATGGACAAAAGACAAGACGAGATACAAAAATTCATTTTGGCACTATGAAATAGGATGCAAATGGCAAAAAAAAAAAAGACAAAAAGGCATCATATTGAGAAATATGTGGCACTACAACATACTTCTCATGCCACATTACACAGTCGCGAGAAATCAAGACACACTGATGTGTGTTTTCTGCTCATTCCACCCCATATGCTGGGCTGGGCTTGACACTGGATGTGAAGACTCAGTGCCTGTGAGATCAGTAGCAGGTCCGTACTGTATGGGCTGATCTTTAAGTTTGGCCGCCTTATTATTCCAGGAGCTCTATTCTAAACTCAAGGAGTTCAGAAAGGTTGTGCCAGCCAGAAAGTAAAGTTGGACCTTTGGTCTTCAGAAGATAGGCTTTTGTCTTTGGTTGTTTTTTGAAGCCCCTGTTATTCCACGTGATGCCCCTCACACTTTCCTCCCCGCCTTTTTGCTCATTATAAAGTTTTTTCCTCCTATAATCAAATCAGTTAACAACCACGAAACTAGCTTCATTAGGTGTAAAATCTATTAGAAGTGCATTCAGTGGTCCAGAATATTTTGAGAAACTATAACAACTTCTTTTCATTATGGAGCTCTTAGTACCCTTATATAGGGAAGAAATCAGAAAACTCCACAACACAATCTAGTAGCACTAAGGCAACATAGCAGAAGAAAAGCTAACTGCCCCATGTGCTCATCTCTGAAAATCAAAAAAACAATAGGGGCCAAAAAGCAAGCTCTGAGCACAGACTACAGTAACCTAGAGGATGGGGAAAATCTACTTAACAGTCCAGCCCCCAAAGCTGTTATTGTCACATTTCTGTGTGGTATCTAGTACAATTTACGAAAAAGTCACAACCTGATTATCAACATGGTAAATGAAGAGAGAGCTCACATTTTCTAGTGGCAGGTAGAATGATCCATGGAACCTATTCTATCTGCCCAATTATTCCCAAGTCTTTTCAATGCCTACTTTTACTCATATGATTTAACACATACCCCTGAATCAACAGCTCAAATTATAATGCCAGATGACAGGATGGGTGGATCAGATTCATACACGAAAGTCAGAATATTCCCTTTAAGTCTTATACTTCTGTGTAAAAGGACATATCAAATATAGATACTTACACTGGATTTAGGCCCTTTTCTATCTGACATGGGAATTCCCACCAGTGGTCTCTGTATTTACTACTGTGGAAGGTTCATTAAAGCTCTTCTAGGCTGGGTGCGATGGCTCACACCTGTAATCCCAGCACTTTGGGAGGCTGAGGCGGGTGGATCACCTGAGGTCAGGAGTTCAAGATCAGCCTGGCCAACATGGTGAAACCCCATCTCTACTAAAAATACAAAAATCAGCCAGGTGTGGTGGCATACACCTGTGGTCCCAGCTACTCAGGAGGCTGAGGCAGGAGAATCGCTTGAACCTGGGAGGTGGAGGTTGCAGCATGCCGAGGTTATAGCAAGCTGAGAGTGTGCCACTGTACTCCAGCCTGGGTGACAGAGCAAGACTCTTGTCTCAAAACAAAACCAAAACCAAAAAACTCTTCTAGGAATGTGGGACAGGGTAGGGAGCTGACTTTTCTCCTTTTTTCACCAGCCAGTTATGATAGTTCCACTTTCTTCAGCCTGAAAAGGTAGGCAATGGTTTGATGTCTGACTATAAATCATGAGCCACTGGAATCAAATTTCACAAGAACTTCAAGCTCCTTGAATAATTTCTGCCTCGTTTTTCAAGGGCCCAGGGTGCCTTCCATGTAGACGCAGCACTGTTACCTAATAGTAAGGTGCAGATGTGAAGAAATCCACATGCTTCCCTATAGAAGATGGAGTAGATAAGGGATTGGGGACGGAGTTCTACTGGCAGAGCAGTCTGAAGCTGCTCTAGTGGGTGACTGGAAAACTCTAAAACAGAAAACACCTCCCTGGTTTATGCTGGGAGAAAAAACACCTTTTGCATTTCTACCTTTAGCATCTGCTCCTCCAACTTTCTACCAAATTTATTTTTTGCCAACTATGGACTACACTTGAGTTTGCTAATTCATCATCATCTTCAGCTGTTCCTGGACATGTTGACAAATACATTTTAAGACAGCAATATACGGATAACACTAAGCCACATAATGTCATATCTGAGCTACAATAAAAAGAATCAAGTATTTTAGTTGATGGATTAATTACAAGGATTCCCTATTTATTTCTTCTGGAATTATTTTGGCCCATTGCAAATAATCTAGTCCTTGCCCAGAATAACCCCTAGGACACACACACACACACACACACACACACTCCCGCATACCTCCAAGGAACAAAATCTTACTGTCATGAAGATTCAGTATTGATCAACTTGTTATTCCTGCAGATTAGTGTGGTTTCTATTCCCTAACCTGCTACTAAATTACATAAAGTTTTTAATGATTCCAGGCCAGAAGGTGGTATCATCTCAAAAGTATCTCTAGTGGAGGCCTAATCACACTTCTTTATTTCAAAAAACGTTATCAGAACAACTTTACAGCAGCCTTTTGACTTGTGTTCATCAGCCCGAGGGGGTAGTGGGCAGGGCGGGGGGGGAGCTGGCAGTCTGAGGGCCCTGAAATTCTATGAGCATTTTGAGTGTTCAAAGACATGCTATGAGCATTTGAGAGGAACACAGTCCATAACTTTCTTAAGCTCAAACAGACCCATGGCCCCTTCAAGATAACTTGTTTTTGAATATTAAATTCAGGTCTTAGGAAATAAAAGTGAAAAATTTCTGAGACGTTTGTAAATTACAATGTTTCCATGTTCAACTAGATCTTCACTAGACTATTAATAAAAACTTTATTGTTCTGAGCTCCATGTCCTGGAGAAAATCATTTAAGTTGTAAAACTGAGCATCTGAAGAATAGACTAATAGGTCTCTAAAAATTTCCTATATTTTTCACAAATTTCCTAATGAATTTCCTTAGAAAATAACACATTCTGTCCACACAATTTACAAAAGTGGCAAATGTTCATACAATATTGAAATGGAATCATAGATGGGGAGGAAGAAAGGGCACTATAGTATTTCTATAGAAAAGAAAGGTTTTCCACAGAAATCAGTAAGTTTAAAAACTGCATTGAAGTTTTCTATAAGAAAGATATTTTCAAAGATTTAAATCTTGGATTTAAATTATCCTTTTAAAATTAAAATGTGGAATATAAGAATTTGGCTCAAACTTGTGAAATTTCAATGGGAAAAGTGTGTTATTCTAAATTTGCAAGTGTACACAACGTGTATAATTTTTGTTTTGTTTTTTAAGTTTCCTAGCTTTAGATTTTCTCTTGGCATACTCAAGGGTCTTACTTTTTTTTTTTTTTTTAAATTTGGACTATGTGACACTAAGTTAACAAAGATGAGTTAATTCCAAGAAGCTACTATGTATGAACAGTGCCTACTTTTCAAAAGGGCTCACATGCATTCTTAGTACACAAAGATACATGAATATGCATTTAAAGCAAAAGGCAGCCTATGCTGTGAATACAGAATACACAAATCTCTGCATTATGCATTTACTTATGAACCCCATTTTTTTCCAATATATATTCACAGACAACTTTTTAACAACTCTAGGCAAGCCATTATAGTGCATTCCTATTTGCCAGATGGAATGCATGAAAGCAAAACAGAAATTAACTATTGCAGGTGCACTGAGAAGCCTCCAAACTCTGAGAGTTTTGTTGTTGTTTTTTTAAAGTAGCATTAGAAAAGCAGTAAAGAGTTTACTTATTGAAAAGCAAAAGCTTAAAGACCTTTCTAGAGGAAACTTCTCAGAGGCCATGTTAAGGCTATTGTAAAGTCCAATTTAAATGAAAAAGTTACTGTCCAAAAATCAAATAAAATGTTCAAGTCACCATTACTGGCAGTTCAGGTTTTGGAACTGATCACAAAATTCTACCTTGCAGGCTAGGAGATCTCTTGAAGTGGCTGTTAGTAGCTAGTGATAGTGCATGGTGGAAATGGTTGAAGCCTCAGGGGCAGTGATGTGGTCTCACACATAAGTGGTGCCTCAGTTCCTGCAGCTGTTTTGAAGAGGGAGGGAGAGGTAATAACTCTGCTCTAAAGCAAAGTCAGTCCAGAATGAAGGGGTCAGTGCCTCATACCCCCTACTGGGGTGAAATCCTAAAACTGCCCAAGGCAGGCAAGGGAGCCCTTGGGAGATACCAAGATCAGTGGTATTGGAAAGAACTTACAATCAGAACCTTAATGCCCTTCAATGGTGGTGTGGTGGGAGGTGGGGGTGAGGCAGGGAAGAATAAGAGAGCATCTCTACAAAGGAAAAACATTTCTAGCATAATTTAAAAATAAGCTCAGTAAGTTCCTCCCCCCTTAACCATTATGGAAAGAGTTTGGGGACCAACACACAGCTAAGCTACTTAAGTTGTAGTGACTTAGGACTTAATTATCTTATAGGATAGGATAAAAACTTTAATCCTAAACATTAGCCATTGCATTAAATGGTTTAAAGGAACAACTGGGTTTGAGATCTGCTCATCCAGGCAAGGATTATACAATCTCAGTGCTCTAGCTAAATTGCTAATGTTTAATTACTATTGCACTGGTAAGCCTCTCATAGAAGATGGGTCTCTTGCATTTACACTGAAATGTAACTTTTCTCTTCCACATTATGGAAGGGCTTATTTTTGAGGCAGGAGCTTTAGAAGGCCTAAATTATGCACCAGAGCCATAATTATCTGATGGCAGAAACCATGACACTCTGGTCACTACCACAATTGACAATGCAAGACCCTAACTAAAACTCTAGAAATATAAGTCCTGAATAAAGTTTTGAAGATTCACCACAGAAAAAGACAAAAACCACAACACAGAATCAATGATTTATAAAATTATTTGGGAATCCACATTTCACAGATAAATTTTTGTTCTTCATCTATTTTTCTCACTTGGGCAGAAGATGGAAGCAGTGAGTGAATAGCAATAAGGCAGCCCGTAGCTAGCTGAAGAATGACTTGAAATGAATGAACAGAGGCAGGAGGAATATCCAAACATAACCTCAACACATTTAAATATTGCTTAAAATCCTCTGTGAGGCTTATCAAATTAATCAAGGAATAAAGCTCAAGAGAGAGTGATATTCCACATATCGAATATCTCTCTGTGTGTGCCTGTGTGATATATATGCATATCTGCATATATCTATATGGCACATGAATTTACTTAAGGAAAACAGCCTGGCAATTAATTTGCAACTCAAATGACATGGTTACACATAGATCATAATTTCTAAACACAATGTTAGTAAAACAAAATTTATTTGTAAAACAGGACCTGTTATATAAAATGGCACACAATCAAGTTATACAAAAATACAAAATTTCTTTCTGATTACAGTTCTAGTTGCAAATGATAATTAGAAAGCATTCCTGGTGGCTTCCAAATAGCTGAGATTGCGAGCATATGGAACAGGGAGCAGCAACAGTCCATGATGCAGGGATGTCCAAGTGAGTAGAACCTAATTTCCAAGTTCAGGACTTCCATCAGGTCACTTTGGAGGGACACCTCTTAAAATTGCTAGCTCCTGGAATATCTTCTGCTTTGATACCCATCTTCTAGACTTTTGCCAATTCTAAATTTAGTTCCCAACGTTTGTGAAAGTCCAAAATCTGTGTGGCTATGAAACAGATGGTATTCTGAATTTTCTCACATGATTTGCTCTCTCATCTATTTGGACAATTGTTAGTTACAGAATTATATTTGTTCCATTTCAAATGAATAAAAGAGAACAGTGATACTGTCTGGTGATACTAGATGTTAGATGTTAACTTCAGGAGAATTATTCTTTCAAAATAGCTACTCTCGCAGTGTTGGTTTCTCAGATCTTGCTAATACATGAGCTCTTAATTGTGTGTATGTGTATGTGTGTGTGTTTTTAAATCCAGACTCATCGCAAATATTCTGAAAAATCAGAAACATTACATGAACTTTGAAAAGAAACCAAGGCATTTAGCAAATTTTAGCCTAGCTATAGTAAAGAACACCAATACTTAAAAAAAAAAAAATACAATTTACCTTTTGCAGCAATTTAAAGGTCCAACCCTTTGAAAGGAAGCACATTAGCAAACAGCTGCTTATTAAGCCCTAGTGACATTACTTATATGCATTTCCATAACACCGGTCTAATTCACTGTCTAGTTCTGGTAGGAGGCAATGCTTTCTTTCAAAAGATTCTCCTTCCATGGAATGAAAAAATGCTGAGACTTTTTTTTTTTTTGTACAGAGCCTGTATTTAGTGCAATAAGTTTAAAAAATTTGCTCTGAAATATTTACTTTACATTAACAAAAATAGTTTTTTTTAAAAAAATTGTAACAAAAAGGAGTTATCGCATAAACAGATCATGAATTATTATTAGCAAATTACACTTTTTTTCTTAAAGCATTCACCATTACAATAAGCAGAACAATGGAATATTAGCCATTCATATCTGGTAAGCTTCAGGAATAAAAAAGCAAAAAACCCCAAACCTACCCCCAAACAAAAAAGAAAAACCAGTCATACTGGAGGATCAAAACATTAGCCAATTCTTCAGTTAAACATCGTAGAACTCTGGATACTCAATGAATTGCCAAGGAGAGGAGCACCTGCCAGTATGTTTTCAGATTTTATAGTAAGCATTTAAATAAAATGGCTGTTTAACCCTAAGCCACTGACGTTCCTCTGAAGCAGAAGCCCAAGCACTGGAATTTTCAATGCTTTATGTTCCATGTTTCTGTCCCTTCTTTATTCCTCCCAGCATTACTTAATCTGCAAATCAATACACGGAAACGTAAAGGCTAAACTCGCTGGGTGCCCCAGCTTTCTTCCAAATCAGGCACACAAATGTGTGGAGGATGCTACCAAAGTCAAAAAGGAAAGAAAGACAAAATATAAGGAAAAAGTTTGCATACGAAAGATTATCTACCCTTTTCTTTTTTTACCTACTTTCTTTTATAGAAGCGTTAGGGTAAACTACAAATACCTGAGGAGTTGGTTACCTTTTAATGTTGGCTGACAAATGTATGAACTATTATGAAAATTCCCATATTGGGCCCACTTGTATGTTTCTAAAAGTAAAATGACATGGCTTCTTTGATTGGGGAAAACTGATTGGAGTAATTCCTTATTTATCTGAAAGCATATGCCTAGTCTTGACCCACTAGGACTTATGCATCAGTAAAATAAGATCTTGATTTTATACATACATCAGGGAAATCACCCCTGAATAGACTTTAGACATAATTTGGTACAATAATTTTACCTAATTTTAAATAACTATAGTTAAAATCTCCTCTAAGTTATTAAAAATGTTAATCAGATATGAATTTTAACATTTCCATTAAGACAATTACAGTTGAAAACATTAAATGACGGAAGTTGCCTTGTAAAAGCCACCCGTATGAAAGGAGTACATGTTTGACAAAAATAAGCATAAAAAAGGTATTAAATCCCTGTTCCTTTTCTCTGATTTTGGCTGATTTATGTGTGTGTGTGTATATACATATACATATATATATACACACATACATATACATATATACACACACCCACACACACAAATACATAGTTATGTGTATATATTGTTTTGGAATGTCAATGGATTTCCATAACCGTCGGCTACGTTCAAGCAGAACTTGCTCCCGAAGCCTAGAAAACAAAGTCATACAGAGTATAATCTTAGACAATTACCATTAAAAGTAGATCATGAATGATGTTACAAATAAACATATGGTCACAAACAGCAAAAGGGCAAAATGGAGCAAGAATCCTTCTCCCCAGAATTCCTAGAGCTGAAATTCTTATGAATGTTGAAAGTCATGCTTCCTCTAGGATCATCTCTTGAGATACACAGAGCATATTTCTCTAGCCCATGTTTCTACAGTGTCTAGGATTTTTCTTCCCTTTTCTCTTTAGTTATTTCCTATATGATAGCAAGCGGACAGTCAGAAAATCTCTTTCCTAAACCTCTTCATCATTTTTGGTACATTTTTCCAAAATCTCTTTCAAAGAATCATAAAAAAAAATTCATCAATCTTTAAAGTTTCCTTAACTAGCCTCTCTAAAGGAAAAGTTCAAGAGCAAAACTGGAAGTTCTCATATTTAGTTCAATGATCCCCCATCAAAAGAAAAATATAAAGCCTCATTTTACTGAACATTATTTTATAGGCTAAAAATGAAGCCTAAATTAAAATATCCTATTGAGGAGGGAGGAAGATAGCGAATTCAAACAGCAGCAATGTTTCTAGAGTGACTGCAAAATAGGCATGATGCTCTTTTATAGAACTTTCAACTACAGCAACAATATGTGAATTATATCAAGCAAATACAAAAAGCAATCCTAAATTCTGCCAATTCCCCAAACTTTCAGTAGAAATTTCTCAAATCGTTTTTTAGAAACACATGCAAGGGAATGGTGTTAGTAGGGGCCAACTCTAATCATGCATACTGTGAAAGAGAAAAAAGAAAGAAGGTACTGAGGTGCTGAAAAAATAAAATTACTCTGTGAGCAGCATTTCACACTTGTCTTCTGGGAGATTTTTTTAACCATTTAAAATATCATTCTTAGGGACCCAATGCTACAATGTCCAAAGCACCTGAACAATGCACACAGATGTATTTTGGGATGCAGCAGAGGGTTTTTGCCATTCATCTGCAAGCAATGAACTGATAAACAACATAAAATGAAAGCAAAAATTAAATGAAGATTTTAATGCATTATTTGAGGTAAAGGACACTATATTTCAGACTAAAAATACTAATAGGAAAAAACTCTTTCTAAAATATTTGGCATCTGACAGAATGCCACATAACCTGGGCAATTCTCCCAGGATTATTACCTATAAATTAGGAGTTTAGGTAAGGAAGGTATACTTGCATTCTGATCGACTACAATTCATCTATCATTTATTAAAGAATACTACAGAAATCTGTGCCAGCTCATGGCCAAATTACCTAGTCTTCAACCTTGAAATATTTTTCCCTTTCTTTAAATGCTTATTACTGAATGATGTAAAGAAAGCTTCAATCACTGGAAAAACAGAAAAGTGGGGAAAGCTTGGTTTATATTTTAGGATTTCGTATGTCTTTTTAAGTTTCGGGCTTGGAATCCATTTGCTGAACAATTAGGACTACCAAGCAGTGGAAGGAAGGAAGTCTTCCTCATTTCTCCATGTTGCCATAGGGTTGGCAGAATCTCCACTGCTGCCCTCCTCAGTCTTTGTGAAGTAAGAGGGATACAGAAGGTGTGTGTGGGGAGTGGGGGAGGGGGCGGACATGGAACCTGACTGGAAGTATTTCTGGTGAGCTCCCATCTGCCCAAGCAATCCATGTCTGGGTGATACAAACTTAAAATTCAGAGCTATGTGGGTACTAGTGTGATCTGTGCTCTGGGAAGCTAAACGTTTAAATTTGATTTTATAATTATTCAGGCTATTAAGTAACAGTAACACCAAAATAGGCACTGGAAGGGGTTATAGAGGAAAGGATTTATATCTAAATATTTTATTGAGGCTTTAACTTAGGTTGAATATGCAATTAGTTTACATATACACAGAACCTCCCTGCCTCCCTCCATAAATAAACCTATTTCCTTTACTCTTAAATGAGCTTATTTTATACCATGTATTTTTAAGTTGAAACCCTATAAATCAGGTGTATCCAATCTTTTGGCTTTTCCAGGCCACCCTGGAAGAATTGTCTTGGGCCACATATAAAATACAATAATGATAGCTGACGAGCTTAAAAAATTGCAAAAAAAATCTCATAATATTTTAAGAAAGTTTAAATTTGTGTTGAGCTGCATTCAAAGCCTTCCTAAGCCATATGCGGCCCACAGACAGTAGGTTAGACAAGCTTGCTATAAATCAAATCATTTATTAAACTGTAGGGAAGACAGAAAGGAAATTTCTTACCTCACACTTTTTAACATTAATGCAGTCAGGGGCACATTGTTTAAAATTAATTATTTAAGGATGTAGACAATTATGTAATATTTGAAAATAAACAAGCTATTTTTAAAAAATGTTTTTATGTTTAAACAGTGTTTAAATTAGAAATAATTAGACCAATATATGATAGAGGTATCTGTTGTTACGATATAGTGACAATATCCACGGGAAAAGCAGCTCAAGATTCTCTTACACTCATTAAGCTGCTTTTTTCAAATAAAAGTAGAGAGATATATTTGTGTATATATACACATATATATAATATCAATGACTAGAAATAATATATCCATCTCATAATTAAACTGGGAGAAGACTAGATTGTCTTACTGAATGGGAATGTGAGTACTGGTGAAAACAGCCTTGTTTGCTACTGAAAAATAGCTTAATAAACAAAGTACAACCTAGGCAACAGAAGAAAAACGCAGCCAAGGGAAAACAACAGTAATGTAAACAGAACAATATTTTTAAAAGGGGGAGTATGAATTTTAGCAAGTTGAAAGGAATTGCTATGATCACCTTCCAAAATGATAAAAAATCAAACCGTCAGTTCAAGTGTACACCAAAATGTTCAGTCTGAGGAAAGCCAAACACTGACAGTTAAAAAGGAAACAAGAGCAACAGCAGTTTTACCTTAGGGACAAAACTATCATCCCCAACCCCCCTGAGCACTGACAAGGATGCTGTTCCTTTCAGCTTACTTTTACAGAAGGTGGTCTCAGTTGTGACAAGAATTCTGCCATCCAAGTGATGGGTAAGCACACAAACAGAAAGAGCAGCACGTCCTGCGTGATACAGATAACAAAAGCTTCTCCTGAAGAAGTGCAGTCAGTGAAGACAGAGAGAGAGAGGAAGTGAAAGTGAAATTCTTGGAGGGCGGTCCCCTCCTCATCTCCACCTACCATCGGCTTTAGCTCTCTGGCATCAGCGACGCCTCCCTTACCAGCTTCTTTCATTGCTTTCCTACTGTTTTCCACAAACTCCTGCAAAACATGGACCACACTGCATAAATTCTTGGGTCCTTTCAGATTTGTTAGTAGATAAATTCTAAAGAACATTTACATTTTTGACTGAATCTTAGTAAATGAATAGCCTAAAAACATAGCAATAAATAATGTTTAGTATCACACATGAGAGCTACTAAACTTTGTAGGAATGGACTGTAATCTGCTGATTAAAATAATCTTCTTTCCATCCATTCATTGTGACAATCTTATTAAGGCTCCAAGAGATAATGTTAGTTCTATTTGGAAGAGAAAATACCTAACATTTTAAAGAGGCTATTTTCTCACACTCAGAATATCATTTTATTTGCTGTTTTATTTTTTTTCTATATCAAGTTCTAATGAAACAATATGTTACTCCATGAGCCTCCACTTTTAAATAACCATAGAAGGTAAAAGAACGCATTGATATTGCTAAGCACATAATGCTTTTGTTTTAAAACCCAACAAATCATAAACAAAGTACTTTTTTCTTTAATGTCAATCTGACCATGACTTTACTTCATAAAGCAGGAAGACAGGGTATATCAACCAGAACCTGTGGTTAGCAGTAGTCGAGATGGGAATATGCCCCGAAGGAAACATTTCTGTTCCGTCAATGTTTATGGGGCACTTCTTTATTAAATACCCTCGCCATTCCTACAGAGAAAACTGAAGGGTGGAAAACTGTATTTTTACTCTGCTTTTGATCAGTAACTCAAAAAACAGTAACACTCTTCTAAATGCTTTAATCACAAAAGAGATGCAAAACACATGATCAAATTCTATTAAGAAAATAACCAGTTAGAATTAGTTTAGACATTAAAAGAATGTCCACAATTTAGCTCATGTTGTCAGAAAAAGAGGAAATCAGTGCCAAATAGGTCAGCTAACTCATTTAGAATTCTTGCCATTGGAAAAAAAAAAAATCTGGGCTGGGCACGGTGGCTCATGCCTGTAATCCTAGTACTTTGGGAGGCTGAGGCAGGCAGATCACTTGAAGTCAGGAGTTCGAGACCAGCTTGGCCAACATGGTGAAACCCAGTCTCTATTAAAAATTAGCTGGGTGTGGTGGGGCACACATGTAATCCTAGCTACTCAACAGGCTGAGGCAGGAGAACTGCTTGAAACCCGGGAGGCAGAGGTTGCAGAGCTAAGATCATGCCACTGCACTACAGTCTAGGTGACAAAGCAAGACTCCATCTCAAAAAAAAAAAAAAAAAAGAAAGAAAGAAAAAAAATCTAGCTTATTTATTAATACATTTATTTTAGATTTAACTGGATAAAATATGCTCCTGGTAAATGACTTGTTATTTCAATGTATAATGCTTAGTATTTATTATTATCCATTTTTGAGATAGAAATATTTCATAGCTTAATAGCAAACTACTATTATTTAGAAAAGCATCTTTACTTTGGTAACATTTAACATTGATTATAATGGTACTTAAACCATTTAATAAGATTTTCAAAGTTTTAAAAAATTTTAATTGCGGTTCTAATATAAAAAATCTGCACATAATATCTGTGTAAAGGTTTAGATCTTGACTAATAAAAAACAATACATTCTATCAGTCATGGGTCTGTTATCTGTATTCATCACAAAATGCTTTCAATTTGGCCTACCATATTTAAGATGATGAGTTTTGACCGGGTGACAGTAGTAACATTTGGGGCAGTGGTAGATAAAGAAAGACAGGAAGGCACTAGGACCTGGGAAACAGGATATCTTGTCTTTGAGCCCCATTTCAGGAAAAGGCACACAGAACATCAGTGGCCCAGTCAATTCAAATCTATCTAACTGCAGAGAGAGGGGCAGCAGGAAGACAGTGAACTTAGGACTATTAACGAGTACTGCTCTAGCTAGGTAGATCTGAAATGATCTTGTTCATGCCAAGATGCCTTCTTCCCTCACTTACCTAAGATTAACCTCATTCATGAGTGAGTGCTACTAGTTTAATTCTAAATAACTCAATTGCATACAGTGCGAATTAAATATAGAGAATGTTCTGTAGAATATTTTTATTGGTATTTTTATCCCTAAAATAGGAAAGGGCGTTTGAAGTACTTACCATCAGCACTTTATCCATATAGAATTCCCTACCAGGGCTTCCATCATTGTATTTTGTATCAATGGCAAAACACAAGAATAATACATCCACTACCATTTCGTAAATAGACAGGAAGCAATGAGCGACTAGGAAGGCGAAGAGGCAGACGATGATCAGAGGCAGCACCCATACTGTGTAGTCCTGCTGGTAGTTGAGCAGCATAATCCCAGCTAAGCCTGTGCTGCAGACTATCAGCACCTGAAGCAGAGAGAACAAAGACCACATTTAATGTCCTACTGGAGAAAACCACTCTTTCTTCATCATTTGCAGACTTAAAAATTCTCTTTACTATTTATAAACAATGGTTGCATGAGGACACTCCATCACAAATAAGGAAATATAACCCACATATTCCCATATACACACAGAATATACATGCTTATCATATACATTTAAAAATCATCTTTAAATGATTCTGCTTTAAAGATAATCAAGTTTTTCAAGTGTGCTCCCTAAAACTTAACCTATTTAGAATCTGTGGCAATTTTTAAGACAAATGTAGAATATTTTAGTAAAAATTTGCACATTCTTAGCACTCAGAAAAGACTGATATTTCAGTGTAATGGTATGCATTTTTTCTAAGCATTTTCACATATATGAAATAGTATTATATAAACAAATCACTATAAGCTTTTCATTAATATTTATAGAAGTTTCATTATAAATGCTTCATAAATATTTACTCAGCTACATAATTTCATTTTATGAGTGATTTAAAATACATTTAATCATTCTCTTACTGTTTTTTCAGATATAAATAATGCTGCAACAAACATCTATAGTCTTAGAACTTTTTCTGTGTTTTATATTTTATTTCACATAGAATATGTGATAAATTTAACATAATTTGCCATGAAGTATATATTTGGACTCTCTGTGAAGAAAGAGGTTGCCAAAAACATCCATGCTAAAAGAATAAAAGAAATAGCCAATTTAGTTATTGTCAAGAACCACCTACTCTGATGCTTCATCATTTCACATGCAGCATTTAAAAATTTTTGTGGTTTTTAAAATACATTTTATTCCAGCTTTTCAATAATCCTATGAATGGTTTATAGCATATATTATCATCCCATTTTATAGACCGGGAAACAAACTTAGAGATGCTAGCTGACCTGAGTAGAAGAAAAGAGTAGATCCAACGTCAAGGTCACAAAAGTAAAAAAAAAAGAGCAGATCCTACACAAATAACGGTCTTATGTTGTCAAACCCAGTGCTCTTTCCAGATAAAAACTCAGCAAATATTTGGATATTGATTGCTACACAGCAGTAATGGATTCTACTGAATTCCAGACACACTCTTACCTAGCCCTTTACTTTGTCTTGTATAAGGCCTTAAGAGAAAAGAGAGACCTCTAGAATCATGGTAGCCTCTTCTTGTCTAGTGCTAAGACAGATAATTCTTCTTTGGCATTTTCTCCAGTATTTTTCATCATCAAAGCATTTTACATTCACCATTATCTTAACCTGGAGTTAAATGCATTAGATGATACATTGGTTCAGCTATAAATTGATCCCTCTCTCAGATGAGACATTGGTTATGCTATAAATTGCTTTTAGGGAGCAAATCTGGGTCCACCCAAGCTTTGGAAGACTTCCCCACCATTTTTTTTTTTTTTTTTTTTTTGAGACAGAGTCTTGCTCTGTTGCCAGGCTGGAGTGCAGTGGTGCCATCTTGGCTCACTGCAACCTCTACCTCCTGGGTTCAAGCAATTCTCCTGCCTCAGCCTCCCAAGTAGCTGAGACTACAAGCGCACGCCACCACACCCAGCTAATTTTTGTATTTTTAGTAGAGACGGGGTTTCACCAAGTTGGCCAGGATGGTCTCAATCGCTTGACCTTGTGATCTGCCCACCTCAGCCTCCCAAAGTGCTGGGATTACAGGCATGAGCCACCATGCCTGGCCTTCCCCACCATTTTTGTAGCAATACACTTATAAATCTTCTCTTATAGTGACTTATTTTCTGGGGTTATTTCCATAGATGGTTAATTACTTCCATTTTCTTTTTCTTTCTTTTTTTTTTTTTTTTTATTGGAGACAGAGTCTCACTTTATCACCCAGGCTGGAGTGCAGCGGTACAATCTCGGCTCATTACAACCTCTGCCTCCTGGGTTCAAGTGATTCACCACTTTAGCCTCCCGAGTAGGTGGGACTACAGGCACCGGCCACCACGCCTGGCTTTTTTTTTTGTATTTTTTAGTAGAGATGGGGTTTCACCATGTTGGTCAGGCTGGTTTTGAACTCCTGATCTCAGGTGATCCACCCACCTCGGCTTCCCAAAGTATTGGGATTACAGGTGTGAGCTACCATGCTCAGCCATTACTTCCATTTTCTTCCACTCTCCTGGTTTCAATTTTATAGTGAGTAATAACTATACTATACTCTCCAAATGTTACACATCCACCCTCTTGAAGGGCTGAGGTTCTTCATGCTCTTATCATGCCATTAAAAATTAAGCCCCTTTGAAATGGTAAAGTTAGTTATAGAAAGAAGGTGTGGCTCAAACAAACTATTGAGACAAAAAGCTGGTGAGACGGAAGGTTAGATATTGTCATGCAAGGGACAACTTCAACAATTAGTGTTTAGTCAAAAAAAAATGTAGTAGTTACTCCCAAATATATTGAAAGAGTATCATGCACTTATTCAAGTAGATACACAAATGGTTCTCAAACTGTAGAAAGGCTTAGAATGCAGATTCCTGGGCTCTATTCCCAGAGTCTGGTTGGTTGGATCCAAGATAAAGCCCAGTAGCTGACATTTAAAAAGTATCCCAGGTGCTGATAAAGCCTATGTCTCAAGAAGTACTGGTGTGTATCAGTGATCTCCATGGTGGAGTACACACATCCTAGGGAGTATTCTTAACAGGATCACCTGGGACTTCTATTATATTTCTCATACATTTAAAATGTCTTCTTTAGTATGCTTTATAATGCATATATTAGTAACAACCATATATATATGTGTGTGTGTGTGTGTGTGTGTGTGTGTGTATATCATAGATAAATAAATATAAATATATTGAACAGCCATGATCAAACTTTTTTCTTAATAGGGCGCATGACTTTAGAAGTTAAGACATCCCTTGCTGAGCATGATGGCTTGCACCTATAGTCCCAGCTACTTGGGAGGCTGAGGCAGGATGATTGCTTGAGCCCAGGACTTCAAGACCAGCCTGGGCAAACAGCAAGATTCCATCTCAAAAAAGAAAAAAAAAATTAGACATTCTAGAGGATAAATTCTTGAAAATACAGTAGAAGAGATTCACACTTTGGGTAGGATGTGGGAAGCAGGAAGGAAAGGATGCTAGTTTTGGAGTCAGAAAGACGTAGATTTGAATTACAGAATTAGGACTTAGTTTTGTAACTCTATGCAAGTTCATTGAACATTCTGAGCCTGTTTCTCCATCTTTAAAAGAGACATAATAATACATACATCCCACGATTGTTAAAACAAGCATTCTAAAAGTATTTAATGCAATGCCTGGCAATGTTTCTCCCTCCCTCTCTTTCTTTCTTTTTTTGCTATTGTAAGTGCAACATTTATGATGCCCTTTCCCCAGAAAACCTACATTTTGAAAGATATTGTTTACCAACAAAATAGCATTTATAAGTAATAATTCATATTCTCAATTTTTATTAATCCAAGTCAAATAAATTGTCAACTAGAAGATATAATTAGTGTGAGAAAAGATATTACCAAATAGAGGTAAAATAATTTCACACAGAAGCAAAGAAATTTGAGATTTTGAGGAGTTTTCAGATAGCTTTATTAGGACAAATATCAATACTTAAAATATTTAAATTAGCTTTAAATTTAAAATAAATCTCTATTTTTACTTTTAGGAACCTATCTGCCAGTGACCATATGTTTCAAGTCACTAAACTAGAAGAGCTAAGGTCCCCTGAAAATCTAATTCACATTCCATAAAAATGTTAGGGTACCACAGAAATGGAACCCATAATGATGTCTGTTAGTTTTTCTTTTTAAATTCAGAGTTTTAAAAATTGAATTTAAAATTTTGAGGTAATTACAAATTCACATGCAGCTGTAAGAAACAGTAGAATGCTTCCATGTACCTTTTACCCGGTTCCCTTCAATACATACATATGGAGTTCAAGACCAGCCTAGCCAACATGGTGAAACCCTTGTCTCCACTAAAAATACAAAAATTAGCCAGGGATGGTGGTGGGCACCTGTAATCCCAGCTGCTCAGGAGGCTGAGGCAGAGAATTGCTTGAACCTGAGAGGTGGAGGTTGCAGTGAGCAGAGATGGCACCACTGCACTCCAGCCTGGGCGACAGAGTGAGACTACGTCACCACCACCAACAAAAAAATCGCTGTGTGTATGCGTATATACATATATATGCTTTTATTCTAAGTTGCTTCATATCTTTCTTAGCTGTAGGGATAAATTATATATATGTAAACAAAAATAAAAATAAAGACTGTGAAGTCTTTCTGAATCAGCTATAGAGAACCTATCCACTTCATTGTACACAACGCTATGCTTCTCCATGCCAAACATATTTTCTTTACAAAAACATTTAAAAAACACAGTTGGCTAGAGCAACGTTAAGTGTTCAATAGTAAGAGAATGTTTAAAAATAGTATTTGGTGGATATTTACCATGGTAATAATGAGTAATTGTGAAAATTATCAAAGCAAGATGAAAAATAAATATGGATGTAAGAGAAATGGGCAGAACAAACAGGTATGTATGCTGTGATTGTTATACTATAGAGAAGTACAAGCCAATAAAAAAAATGGAAAGAAATATATAGAAATGATACGTTATTCAGTTATAGTGGTGGTAGTATAAGTCCTTTTCTTTCCTCAATTAAAAAAAATTTCTGAGTATTTTATGGTTTTAAATTCAGATACAATTAAATCTAATTATGTTATTGAATAGTTTGCAGTATTTTAATAGTATAAATTGCCTCTTGTTCAACACTTCTAAGGAAAGTATAAGTCTCGTTCTTTTACAGCTCTATTTTAAAGAGGCTTATACATAATACTATAATAATGATGATGACAACTGACATTCATTGAGAACTTAAAATGTGTCAGGCACTCTCCTAATACTCTCATGTATTAATCATGCATTAATCTCACGACCCTACAAGTTTGGCACTATTATATTCCAATTTTACAGATGAGCAAACTGAGGCCCAGAGTAATTATCTACCCTGCCCAGGTCACACAGCTATCAGTGACTGAGCCAGAACTGAAATCCAGGCAGTCAGGCTCCAGCTGCAGTACCACTAACTACAAGAAAGACTATTTCCTAATTCTTTACAGTTCGAAATATGTAAAGAGAAGGACGAGCACATGACTTAGCCTCTCCAGGTCTGAGTTTCCTTATCTGTAAAATGAGGATAATAATGGAATTTATCTTAAAAATTTATTGTGAGGATTAAATGAGCACAATATATGTCAAGTACTTATAACAATGCTAGACACATAGTAGGGGCTTTCTAAGTACCTGCTATTTATTACTTTTAGTTTTCTGGTAGGCTGGATATTTTTAAAATAAAAGAGCAAATATATATGTAAAAATTACTATATGTTGCAGACAAAATACTTGGTCTTACCTTGCCTAGGAACAACATAAAATCTCCCACTGTGTTGATGGTAGCCACTCGCAAAGCATTCTCCACCAGAATGACAAAGGCATCCTTTGCTGAGGTGCAGAAGTTGGTGCTGTTGATAGCTGTGGCTGTGTATGCATTCTGGACAAAAGCAAAAACAGCATTCTCATCAAAAACTGAACTTCTTTTAAGACATAAACTGAACACAGCTAAAACATGGCTTAAAAATATTTCAGTCAAACATATGGCACCCTTTAATGAGGTGAAGATTGAGACTGAGTACAAGAAAATATAAGACTTAAAACCTCATATGGTAAAAATAACTTTCCATTTGGCTTTATTTCATTCCTTAAAAAACACTGTTATTTATTAAAACATACATAAACCTTTCTAACATCCATTAACTTCTTCCCTGTCTTAGTAAATCAAACATAATTTAATCTTTCCTAGATGTTTCAGGGTCGTGACTGTGAACATCAGCGATGCACTGCAATCATTTCGGTGATGCTTTAGAAGCTGAAGAGGTAGGTGTGGGCAACAGGTTGCTATGCTGTTTTATCTGGAATATCCACTATCTCCTCCTTGGTGGCTTTTTTCCTATGCTCTCACTTCTCACAGCTCCTGTAGTATACAGCTCTTTGATGGCTGGCATTTTATACCCCTCCTCTTCCTGGGAGCAGAACCCTAAATCTTATTTGAGGAAACAGCCTTACCCTATTCCCTGTCTCAGTCCCAGTGAGACTGTCACTACCTGGAGCTCTGGGGATGGGTCTTGATTGACATAAGTCAATTAGCATACTCTACCTACTGGCCACAATGACTGGTTCAGAATTGGAGAATAAACCAATCAGAGTCAACGAAAGCAAAAGCGACGTTCCCTAGGACTTCTGGAAAAAAGAGGCTTTCTTTCTCTTCCATAGGTTCTCTGGAAAGGTGTGAGGGTATGAATGGCTATAGCTGTTTGGCTAACAGAGAAGAGCTGCTGAAGGTCACAGTGTAAAACTGAGGGTAAGGCCAATACCATGAAATCAGAGCAGGGAAAACCAGGTATTTTGCCTTGTTGACAATTGGGACATTGGCAACTTGCCAGATTTCTAACTTTTCAGTTATAGAAGCTAATACATTGTTAAGAATCCTAGCTCTTCCCTGCTCCACTTTCGTCTCCCTCTCCCCTTTTTTCTCTCTCTCCCTTGTTCAGGCCAGATTGAGCTGAGCTCTCTGTTCCTTAAAATACTGAGCTCTAGCTGATACACTTTCATTCAATTATACCTGCTTCTGCTGACCCATGTGCTCTTTGACCTACTAGTCATAGACTGATTTTTTTCCATTCTTTTTTATGTTACATTCTAGAACAGCATTGATGTTTTCTGGGAAACGTGAAAAAGCATTATAACATAAAATATGTTTGAGTCTTAGGAAGGAAAAGTGTATGAACTTCGTGACTAAAACTTTCGGTCCTGAAGAATTTTGGGTTTAGTGTTGACTTAAATTGTCGCTGGGTCCCAAATGTTGGGATTGCTGGGAAGCTGTTGGAGATAAAGGGCTTACTTTACACTGTGCTGTCTATAAAGCTTTAACCACTGAGCCCAGGAGAGATAGTCTACAATTTATGGATCTAATTATAGGCTTGTTAGTTATTAGGAGTCTGTAATGAAGATGAGGTTTGAATTATCAAAAATTTAACTTGCCATTGTATGATTAAATTCATTGATTAAAAATGCAGAACATTTCAGAGCCAAAGAGAGTACTGTACTGAACAGGTCACTATCTATGGTTCTTAAGCTTTTTCCAGTAATGGGGCAGTAGGAAATAAATGATGGTGCACTCTAAGAAATACAGTATGATTTTGGTATATAGAATTCCATCATAAAAATTGGGGAAGTTTATTATCATCAGAATATATTACTATATTATGTTTATAAGTCTTTTTATCTCAAAAACTAAAATACAGAATATTTTGAAGAACTCATACTACGTGTTTCTGTTAGCATCTACCTGTGTCTTGCTCCTTTACATTGCCATCTGCCAGTGCTTCTTATCAGATAAACGATAGCAGGTACCACAGAGTTAACAAACTGCAGTGCTTCAAGCGTTTTTTTTTGTTTTTTTTTTTTTCTACAAAAGCTTCTTTTGAAATACTCTGCCAAGTGCCTCAATGAAGTAAAAATAAACTATGCTTTTGATCTTGTGTAACATTAACCTTGCTGAAAAACGATAAAGAAGAACTGACCCAGCCAGTTCTATTCTCAAAGAACACAGATTGGTTTCCAGTTCTCATCAGTTCCCTAAGTACTCACAAAAACACTCCGTTAACAATTTATTCTAGAGCAGGGGCGGTCAACCTACCACCTGCAGGTCGTATCTGACCTGCCAATTCCTTTTGTAAATAAAGTTTTACTGGCACATAGCTGTGCTCATTGTTTATATATTGTCTATGGCTGCTTTCATGCAACAATGATGGAATTGTGCAGCCGTGAAAGATCCTGTATGGCCCACAAAGCTAAAAATATTATCTCTGGTCCCTTACAGAAAAAGCTTGCTGCCCTCCTGTTCTAGCTAGAGTACTGCCAAGGATTAATATCAACCTCATCTACTTTATGTGGAACCCACCCTTTCATTGGAAATACAAACCACATGTGCTCATTTCAAATTTTAGTAACTTCCTCCACAATCTCCAATCTTTCAGCATCTTTCACTGTAATTCTTCAGTTAAACAATATAATTGATAAAAGTCTTCAGTGATCTGGGATCTGACTCCTTTGAAGAGAAATACCTTATTTCCCACATTCTAAGATCTCATCAAGAGACTAACGAGCCAGTTATTCATAACAAGTTTTCAGGAGAAAATATCTTACCATATTAAATATACATATTGATTATGAGATGCATCCTGATGCTAAACAGTTTCATAATGTCTAGAATCAAGGGAATTGGACAACCCATTTAAATCAACTAGGTACTAGCTTATGTCCACTCCCACCCCCAATAAGGAACGACTCACTCTTAACTACAGTGTTCTACCCTTTCCAGTTCACCATGAATTTCCTTGAGACAGAAGCAAGAGAGGACCCACATATCTCCATTCTCTCTCCTGTGTTATCATCAGACCAGATGATGCGAGAATGCCCAACACTTCTAAACTACACTATAAAAGCTTTTTTATTTCCCTCATTAATTTTTAGAAGCTTCCTTTCATTTGAGAATTATGATTATTCCTCTTTTGCTTCCTTCTTATCACCCTGCCCTGCCCCACTCCATATGCTTTTAGGGCAGAAGTCTATTTGTTTGTAGATAAAGAGGTAGTGATAATTTCTTTTCTCCACCACTCTGAGAAATTTCTGTAAGGGTCGGATGTACTCACAGAAATTTAGTCTTTCTAAATTTGGATCTATGAAATTCCTCTGTATTCAATCCAACTGAAAAAAAGTAGATGGATATTTTGCAAGCTCCTTCACTCACTCCCAAGGTAGGAAGATAAACTGGATACACAAAGGTCAAGATGACCTCTTCAGAAAGAAAAATGTGCTGCAGATCATAGCAGGCCAATGAAAATTCCCTCTCTTTCTATACTTCCTAGTTTACAAGAATTCATGCTTAAGGTCCTTAGGAATTTTGGAGTCCTTTGTGGCTTTCCCTGATAACCGTTCTCTGAGATTTCTTCAGACTTCTTGGTTGAGATTTTTAAAGTCCACCCACCTTCTTCTCAGACAGCCTTCCTTATCTGGAACTAAACTGCCCACAGACAGACATCAGTGATTAACATTTAGCCCACGCTCAACATCTGCTTGGGTAGGACACAAGCTTGAGACTATTCAACCCCCATGAGCAAGATGAAGGATGACCACCATCCAGGAATTTTTTTAAAAGGATACCTGTTAACCCAATTCCTGGTTGTACTTCTGTGTAACAGGATATAGTGAAAAAGTGCTGATCGTGTGAAAGAAATATGTTAGGGCAGAGGGTCACCATGTATGAAACAGGTCTGCATGGCCATCTGTCCCAGAACACAACTTCTTCATTTTTATATTTTCTTTCCTTTCTTTACTGAAGAACCTAGAAATTTTCTTAAAGTTTAAAATATTTACATAATGATTCAATAGGGGCAAGCTAGACAGCAATGCTAAGGGAATAGGGTATGTGCAATTCTGCGTGGATCCTTATAAATTAAATAAAGGAAAAGGTAATTACAATTATTCCTTTCTTATTTGAGGCAAAGGGGAGAAGGGGAATGCTATAGTCTGAATGTTTGTGTCTTCTCAAAGTTCATATGTTGAAACATAGTCAGCAAGGTAATGGTATTAGTAGGTAGAGTCTTTGGGAGGTGATTAGGTCATAATGGTTCTACTCTCATGAATGGGATTAGTGCCCTTATTTTTTTAAAAAAAATACCCCAAAGAGCTGTTTTGTCTCTTCCACCATGTGAGGTCACAGCAAGAAAGTGCTGTCTCTGAACCAGGAAACTGGCCCACACAAGACACTGAATTTGCTGGTGGCTTGATCCTGGATTTCCCAGCCTCTAGAACTATGGGAATAGTTCTCACAAACTGTATAACAACTATGATAAATACATTTCTGTTGTTTAGAAGCCACATAGTGTATGGTATTTTGTTATAGAAGCCTAAACAGGGAACAAAGTCAAGCCCATACTGTAGCCTTCATCCAATTTTGTTCTAAATTCTTAGACCTTTTCAAGGTCATAAAAATTATAAATGTGTTGCAAATCTTAACTTCAATAGATATTTCTTTCTTTCTTTCTTTTTCTTGACAGTCTTGCTCCATTGCCCAGGCTGGAGTGGAATGGCTCAATCTTGGCTCACTGCCACCTCTGGCTCACTGTAACCTCTGCCTCCCGGGTTCAAGGGATTCTCCTGCCTCAGCCTCCCAAGCAGCTGGAATTACAGGCAGGTGCCATCACACCCAGCTAATTTTTGTATTTTTAGTAGAGATGGGGTTTCACCATGTTGGCCAGGCTGGTCTCAAACTCCTGACCTCAAATGATCCATCCACCTTGGCCTCCCAAAGTGTTGGGATTACAGGCGTAAGCCACCACACCTGACCTCAATAGATTTTCTTTAAAAACATCATTGTCTTAGTTTACAGAATGAATCATTATAACTTGAGATGTCTGCATTTTCTATAATAAACCATATTTGTGTTTGTTTATGTCACTCAGAAATGTGTATATATTTACATGTATATGAGTGTGATATAATGGCAGCAGTTCCTGGAAAGAGCTAGGAAAACCTTGTTGAAAACTTCTTCCACCTTTAGGTCTTGTGATGCCAGTCTCAATTTTCTCATCTATAAAACAGATGAGAAAATAATGCTAGCCTTACAGAGTTGTGTTGGCCACATTTCACATGTGGCACTTCCCATGAACCCAGGAGACATGAAGCACTGCAGGTGATCAGTACCCACATTGCAGCACTTTGTATTCCCAAACAGAACTACTAACTATGAGTTCAGAATAACTCTCCCTAAGCGTTTGCTCACATGTTTGATTTACTGCTGTTTTAATGTTCTGCTTAAACCTCGAACATCATGCCTCCAAAATGCTGATCCAAAATGAACAAAACCTGTACAAAAAAGACCAACATCTCAGGTTTGTTAGTACTAAATCACTGACTAATGTTTAGCTTAGGATATGCTGAAAACCTTTGATTTTTTAAACCTTTTATCAGCTATCTTGATATCATATGATTTATTTTCTTCCTCAGTATAACTGCACATCTCCTTTTCAGTATTTTTATAGTTTTATATCACCCTGTTAGTCTTTTTAAAGAGTCCAAATATTCACTAATATAATTAATAATTCATTCAGAAAACACTTAAAGACCACCTATTGTATATTGGGTACTGTGCTAGCTTGTGAGGAGACCAAGAAAAAGAAGATCCTTACCTTAAAGGAGCTAGGAATTTAAGGGTGAAGTTAACAGATAATTTCAATACAGTATTGTTAGCATTTGAACATTAAGATATGACCTAGTAATAGAAGCTCAGCAGAGGGGCTGAGGGGAAGAGGGATGGCTTCTGGGAGGTGACGCTCAGGCAGAATCATTAAGATTCAGTAGAAACTAGTCCAGTGTTGAAAAACTGCAAAACTAAAAGGTACCTAGGGATGGTAGTAGGATTGAGACTAGAGATCTGGGCTTAGCATATCTCTCCAAGGATAAGCTACTTAGTGGTGAGTATAAAAATGCAATTATGATAATCTTTAGTGTATCCATCAACTTTCTGATAAAGACAACTTGGCCTGAAACCAATTTTAAAGAACACAAATTTTCAGGTTCTTATGGCCATCACTAATTATATTAAGAATGAGCTTCCAAACACTTGTACATCCATTGGGAATATTATGATCTATAAGAATGTATTTTGCTAATGGAACATCATACCTACTTTCTCGTATTACCACAGAACCCAATAAAGCAAACTCCAGGCATGCTCAATACCACGGCCCTAGGACTATCAATCTGTGACTATCCTGGAGTGAATGCTAAGTGCAATGCTAGTCTTCAATCACTTAGCAATAAATGGTGAGAAAGTCAATTTTATCTCTGGCCTATTAGATGTGGGCATTAATACATTAGAACTGATTTTCAAGGAATGGAAAAGTAATTTTAAAAAATAAATAAAAGAAGGAAGGAGTGCCCCAAAGAGACTCCTATGTCCTCAGATATAGATAGAGGACTAACCCATTTTCCTAAGGCCTGTTGTCCTATAAATATCAATTCCCAATTCCTCCATTCAACCTTATAAATAGTACTCCCTTTGATAATATTTCCCAGGCCAATATCATAGTGTTTACCAGTTGGGCAAAAAAAAAAAAAAAAAAAAAGGTATCAGCATAGAGAGCTACTTTCAATGATAGTAGCTAGTTGTAAAAAGGATTAAGTGTCACACAGCTTTATGTTGAAATTTTCAAACAACATTTTTAAAAATGAAAGGATACTAATAAGTAGAATAGTCAGATTCTTAGGGAAAATTTTAAAGATGAAAGAATGTGAATTGAGGGATAAGAGATAAATGTTTTTCCTGAAAGATGAATCCTAGTGATGTTTTATCTATCTATTAAAATAAAAACAATAACCTATGTAACAAACCTGTACATGTACCCCCGAACCTAAAATAAAAGTTGAAAAAAATTAAAATAATAATGAGCCTTGGTAAGCACATACATTAATTTAAAAAATAAGACTATGATTGAAATAGACATACTATTAAAAAGACAATTAAAACAAAGATACAATGTACAATACCACAAGAAAAACATCTTTCAATTTAGTTTATTTTATCTTGGGAGAAGAAACAATGAACCTATCTTTGAAAGTAAATATTAGATTTATTTTTTAAATATTTTACCTGATTTAAATAATTTAGGCACTTTTCAAGACACCAAAGGCAACAAATGCAAGATTTCAGCACACATCGGGCACAAGCATTTTCCTAGATGGGAGAAAAATTGAAATAATCAAAAAACCAAAGAATTAAACTGTCATATGGAAGACTTCGAACATTAGAAAAATAAATAAAAAGTTAAAAATCACAATTTATGCTTCAAATCCTCTATACTTGTCCATTACCTCCTTAAAACATAATAACTGGATTATTTTTAATCAGTTGAATATTTATTTCATCTTTATTGCATAAAAGACACAGTGAAGTTTATAACACCTGCAAGGAGCTTACAATCTAGTAGGAGAAAAAAAATACTAAACACAAAAAAGGTTAGAATCAGAATATAGTATAAATACTAAGTGTTATGAGAGTGTAGAACAAAGAGATGCATTGTTTGGGAGATGGAAGGAATCAGGGAAGGTTTCTACAAAGGGGTAGAATTTGAGTTAGACTATGTTGAAATGCATGTTATTCCGACAGTGAAGGATAGGGAAGAAGTTCTAAGGAGAAAGGTATGTGAGTCAATCAACAGAGAGGAAGAGCAGCACAGGATACTTTTAGTAATTAGTGATTGGATGAATTTTGCTGGAGCATACAGAATACATGACTGGGCGACAAGGGAGAAGGGCTGGATTTCACCTTGTAAAGACATTGAAGAAAACACAACTTTGTATTTAACATTATTTGGTACTTTACTACATGCAGAACTGAGGTCTGGAATGTGCTCACAGAAAGTACAGAAATGCATTTTCCCCTTACCTTTCCTTTGAGCTGACTGTGAATATACATAAGGATCATTCGCGGAATTTTGACTAATGTGATAATGAAAGATCCTTTTGCCACTGTACCAAGGTGGTAACGAATAAGGCGATTCACTGATGCCAAAATAGGTGTAAATGGCAAATTCCTTTTATCCCTATTTAAAAAATGACCAAAAAGACAATTAACACAAAGCCTAGATCAGGAGAGAAACACAGGTATAGTTTAGAGTCCAATGCAGTGAAAAAAAAAAATCAGCTCATCATTCTTATTTTAGCTTTATGACAAAATGGCCAAGTGATATATAATGAATATAAATGCCACAGACATGCTATATAAAATTAATGTCAAGCCGGGTGCGGTGGCTCAAGCCTGTAATCCCAGCACTTTGGGAGGCCGAGGTGGGTGGATCACAAGGTCAAGAGACCATACTGGTCAACATGGTGAAACACCGTCTCTACTAACAATACAAAAAATTAGCTGGGCATGGTGGCGCGTGTCTGTAGTCCCAGCTACTCAGGAGGCTGAGGCAGGAGAATTGCCTGAACCCAGGAGGCGGAGGTTGCGGTGAGCCGAGATCGCGCCATTGCACTCCAGCCTGGGCAACAAGAGCGAAACTCCGTCTCAAAAAAAAAAAAAAAATTAATGTCATTGTTCTATGGTAGTTTTGTGGGGTTCTGATGCTCTAATACTTCAAGTTAAATAAAACTGTGCTCTGAAAGCTTTTATTAGTGAATACTTATGGGGTTAATCATAAAATCAGAAAACAGAATTTAAAAAGATGTTCAATATGGACTTGGAATCTCATTATAATAGAAAGCTATGAGGCCTAAAGCTTTTATACTTGGCTCTAAAGTTAGCAAAGGGAACTCACACTTGTTCTGATCTAAAACTAAAAAGACTTGTGCTTTGATTGACTTTTATATAAAGCAAAAGTACATATGGCACGACTATAAGATTTACTTTTCTGCTAAATACAATTTGTGATATCATAATAAATTTTTTGAGACAATTGCAAAAAGTATAAATAAAACAATAATCTCTCATTTGACCACCTCCCAGAATTATCAACTATATACAACACTCTGCTGTATTCATTTCTAATTATTTTGTTAAATAAATGAAACTCCTACAGCCCCAGTCTGATTCCCTTCCCCTCCAGCCTGTGGACACGATCCCTTAGATGAACTTGAGTTTTCTGATAACAACCAATTCTCACCTAGTAAAATAGTATGTTACCACAGCTCCTGCCACTGTCATCTGCTGACACGCTAGAATAAATTCACTGATCCAAATCAGGCCCACCACATGGTACCACCACATGTACTGCAGAGGCCCAGTAATTTTGAACTCCACAAAGCCTTGGTCATTCTGAACAGCACTGCCTAGGAAAATATCAAGCAAGGAAAGAAGAAGCACATAAAGTACAAACCCAGAAATATGGCAGTTAAATAGACAGCAATATAGGGCCCTATCCCTAGCCACAAACCTGATCCTAGTGCTATTTCATAAAGGGACAAAAATAACGATCACTTGAAAAGTTGTGAAATTAAGAATTGTACTACTATGCATTTTGATGTCTTCAAAGGCATTATATAAAGCTTTTACAAGTTGTTCTATTTGATAAAATTATTCTTATATTATCGGTTATTTAGTTTAGGTGTGAATTTTCAAACACCAGTTTTTTTCAAGACCTATTATTTATCCAATCATCATGGTATCTTAGCAAAGTACAGAAATTAATATATTCAATTGCTGAGTGTGTGTACTGAATGGACAGATAAGTTACATAGTTACATACAAGTTTACTATCCTTATGACACTTTTTGCAATTGGTTTCGTTTAAGCTTATCCTTTGATATTGAGTATGGCTATAAGAAAGTCTGTCTAACTATGAACTATATCATCACTTGGAGCTCTAACTAGGGTCAGATCATTTTCAAACTAGAAAATCCCAAGAAAGTAAGTAGATCCCTGGCTATACCTGGGATGTGAGGTGACTCCTGAGTGACATTGCATTCATTGGTTCATCTTAGGGTAAATCCAAATATCTGAATCAGTACAGGCATTTACTTCAAATTCATGACCATTTCAAAATTAGAATGCAATTTCAGGCCTTCCCTGATCTAGACTTACATTGCCAGGATGTTCTAAAAAATCACAAATATGAGCAGGGCACAGTGGCTCACGCCTGTAATCCCAGCACTTTGGGAGACCGAGGTGGACGGATCACATGAGGCCAGGAGTTCAAGAGCAGCCTGGGCAACATGGCGAAACTCCATTTCTACCCAAAATATAAAAATTAGCCAGGCTTGGTGGTACAAGCCTGCAGTCCCAGCTATCTGGGAGGCTGAGGCAGGAAAATTGCTTGAACCTGGGAGGCGGTGATTGCAGTGAGCCAAGACCATACCACTGCACACCAGTCTGGGCAATAGAGAGAGAGACTCTGCTCGTCCCCCCCAAAAAAATCATGACTGTGGAGTAGGTTATTGAAGAGCCATACCACTACAAGTTCTGATAGCCATTGGACCTTCATCAACAAATATCTGAAGAATTACCTCTCTCTGATGTTCTAAAATATTGGAATGCAAACCACGCCTGTCACCAAGAGAAAGGAAGCATATCTTCTTACCGGTGGTGCCAAGAAAAAGAAGTGTCATGATCCAGTACACCCAAAACAAGACAAGAGCAAAGAAAGTCCAAAAGGGTTGGAAGACTAGCAGTGGCAAGTGAATGAAGACCTTGCCAGCTACATGGAACAAGGCGATGGTAAGAGCAACACGTTTGCGCATAACCAACATTATCAGGAATAAGATCACCTGTATAGAGAGAATGGTTTCAGTTATTATTATAAACAGTGAAAACATAACCCTTCATCCTGAAACCTGGAGGCAGCATTCTTTGCATTTCAGTAGTACTTTATTAGTATGTATCTTTCTTGTAATATTTATTGTCAATTGTATATTATGGTTACCAAGTGTCCTTTAAAGCAAAACATAAAAGGATTTCTCAATTTATTAATACATCCTAGAATTTTTCTCCTTTTCCCTTTGCCACTCATTATGAATCAAAACATATTGTCAGTCAGGATGAGAGTCCTAATTTATTTGAACACATACACCACAAAAACGAGGTATTTATTTGTATCTTCCTTATTGGACCAAGAACTCTTTAAGTGTGGGATCTGTGTCAGATTCACCCTTTGCCTCCTCCCACCACCAAGTCCCATCTCCAGCAGCTGGCAAAGCAAATTGTACCTAAAATGAGATTATTTCATTCATATTTTGTTGTAATATCTGTATAACAATAACAAACAAATATCTTTTGGCACCAATGGTTTTATGGTGGCTTTATTTTTTGTTTCTTATGCTCAGTAAAAAGCTTGTGATTGCTCTGAGAAGTAGACTGATTTTTTTTCTTTTTTCAGAAAGAATACAATGATGAACCAAAGATATACATATAAATTATTTAACCTCGTGTGAATTGGTAATTTTATTGCTTAATACCTAAGCAGTGAATCTCACACCCATACACACACACACACACACACACACACACACACAAATATATTTTTTGGAGACTAGGTCTCACTCTATTGGCCAGGCTGTAATGCAGTGACACCATCATGGCTCAAGTGATCCTCCCACCTCTGCCTCCCAAGTAGCTGAGACCAAGGGTATGCACCATCATGCCCAACTGATTTTTATTTTTTGGAGAGACGGGGTCTCACTATCTTGCCCAGGTTGGCCTAGAACTCCTGGGCTCAAGTGATCCTCCCACTTCAGCCTCCCAAAGTGCTGAGATTACAGGCATAAGCCACTGCACCTCATCACACCTATATTTTTCAAATAATGCCATACTGTTAAACAAAAAGTTTGAAAGAAAAATGGGGAAATAATTAGTGAACAAGTAAGTAGAATGATATATTTTTTAATATACTTTTCTACAGTAAAGGGAACATTTTTAAAAAGTGATTATATTATAACAATAAGAAATATGTTCTTGTAAGCAAATGGTAATGTAAATATTCTAGATGAAAATCCTCTCTCAAAAAGCAGATGGTAGAAAAAAATGTTTCATCAAATAGCACATACCCATGAGGCAAGCCTTCAAGAGACTTTTTAGTGTTTCATATACCGTGGGACAGAGATATTATCTACTGGAGATCAGAGTTAGGAATGCAAAAGCTAGAGTTTCCATTTCATTAATGATCTCCTGCAAACAAAAACACAAAACAGAAAGACACACTAAAGCCTATACTCACTGTGAACACTGTGGCTGAAATGGCATAAATGAGGAGGGCCCGAAGGTTGTCTTCAGCTATCTGAAGCTGCTCAGGAATAACAGTTTCTTTGGGAGACCTTCTTTGCTTTGCATACAGCCACCACAGTACACCTGTGCCTCCTGGAGACAAAAAACCCAACTGTCATTGCATGAATTAGCATAAGAAAAATCCTTAATTTTCTTGACCCTACAGATCATTATGGGACTAATGCGGTGGCAATCCCTTTGGCTGGGAAGTACGTAGCTATAACTTTTTGCCAGCATAAAGTAAGTGACCATTACTCTATTATCATCCTTCACAGTAAGCACTTATGAATCCTTCAGTGTATCAAATAAGCTTCCTTCAAATGTTATTATTGACTATGAAGCTAAGAGTGAGCCAGCAGAAACATATACCCCTGAGAGGAATTGATCACAAAGAGAGCCTCAGCATTTAAGTTGAGGAGGCTGAAGGAAGGAAAATAAGCATCACACAAAACATCAATGAAGCTTGAAGAGTGTAAGGATCTTCTCTGTTGTACTCATCACAGACACCTCTGTGCCTAGCTCTGACACAGTCATGAAGTTGATTAAATATCTGTATAATGAATAAATACAAATCAAAAGAATAGTTCCCACCAAAGAGAGAAGGGAGAAACGAAGTGGAAATCTCTGACAGTGGTGGGTGCTAGGGATGGGCATTTTTTAATCTCCAACACTGATTGAGAGATTCAAAGAACTAGACTGAAGAGGGAGATAAATCTACCTCTATATGTGAAAGCTGACTTATGTGCCTACATTCAACCCATTCAGCAAACGTTCTGAATGCTACAGCACCTATTGTTCTAGCCAGAGATGGAACAGTAAACAAATCCAAGTCCTAACTCTTGCTGCTCATGGAACTTATATGATAATAGGGAAACAAAAAAAATAAATAAATGAGAAAACAAGGAAGTATATAGTATATTAAGTCTAAGGAAAAAACAGTCTCATGGTAAGAAGGATAAAGAGTGTTTGGTTTGGGAACTTTTGCAATTTTATATAAGATGGGTAAGCAAGGTCTCACTGGTATTAATAAGATGAAATCTGAGTAACGGAATCAAAGACAGAGCAATCTATAAAACTATCTAAGGAAAAAGTGTTCCAGGCAAAGCCTTCAAAGAGACTGAGGTAGAACAATGCCTAGTATGAGGGTAAGAAGACCATTGCGGCTACAGCAATGAGCAATGCGGAAAGCGGTAGAGATGTGGAGAGGTATCTGGGACCAGACCACAACTGTGAGGCCTTGTAGGTCACAGAAAGGAAACGTATGATTCCAAGTAGAGATATGTGTGTGTGACTGATACGATAAATGTCTGGGAGATAAAAAACTGAACTAAAGTTGATATACATCAACATCTGCACTCAAATTAAGAGTGAATAGGGTCAAAGGGAAATTCCATATCCTAATCGATGGCAAACACTAAGTATAAATTTTCCATCTGTTGAGAGGAGGAAACAAATCAAAACAACCAGAAATTGGTGAAAAACATTTTAGAGCAAGAGAAATGTTTCCATTTTCAAGTCTTGCAGGTACAAGAAAATTGTTTGAAAAAATGTTTAATATATTGAGAAAGTGGAAAAAAATATGTTTTCTACAAACAAATAAATTATAGGAGAAAAGCTTAAGTTAAAAAAAATAGAATGAAATTGTAATTATGATGTCAAGGAGGAAGCTATTCACAATAGCTGGGGTAGACATTATTTATTATTAAACATTTAAATTTGTGTTAGGAACTGTGCTAAGTCCTTTATAGATGTGACCTAATTTAATTAACACAATACTATTAATATGTAGAGTTTTAAAGTTTTGTCTAATTCCGAATGTTAATTAAATTTGCCTATGATCTTTTGAGGGAATCTTTTTCAATTCTGAAATTTTTTATTTCTGCATTTGATTATCATTTCTGTTCCACTGGTTTTTTGTCTCCTAAGGTCATTGTGTATTCTTCTGCTATCATCTTCTAAATTACCATTTTACTTTTTTGTCATTTTCCTTTATCTTCAGGAAGACCTCTTTAAATGTATTTCCAAATAACTGATTTAGTTTTCCTCATTAGCAGTTCTGTACTACTTTATGGAAGAAGGACTAGTAGTTCCTACTAAAACTAGTCCAGGAAAACTTAAATGTAAATATAATTATGAAAGTTTTTAAGGCAAGGATAAATAAGATTTTTAAAAAGATATAGCAAGTCAAAGTAATATTTTAAGTTTAATTAATAACCCGAGTATTTTTAGCAAGGGCAAAAAGTGGGAGGGAGGATAAGAGAGTAGGTATGAAAGGAAGGAAAGTTGATATTAAATTTAAGGGAGGTAGGTGAGAACTGAACATATATTATTTCTGACTCTAACAATCACAGTAGTCTAAAGAATATTTTCTGAAAACAGCTGTAGAAGTGAAAATATAATGTATACCATCAAAGCAAGGGTGAAGATAACCAAATAAAACATAGTTCATGTAGCAAAGGGAGAAAGGAAAACAAGAAAGAATGAATTTTAGGAAAAGACAGAACAGATGAGAACAGTAAGACCAAACATAACAGTGAAGGTTACAAATGTAATGAGGACAAATTCCATTACTAAAAGGTTTCATATTCAGCTGGTAAAATTTAACTATATGTGTTCATATACATATGCATAGAAAAAAGGTCTGGATTTCAAATGCTAACAGTGATTAAATGAGGGGGGCGGTAAATATAATTATCAAAAATTTTAAGGCAAAAATTAATACTCTTCCGTGATGATACAGAATGTGAAAATAAAATTTATTTTCTTCTTTATATTTCTATTTTCTACCAAAGTAGTTAAGTACCATGAAAACAAACAAATAAATAGCTTACCAAGTGCACCAAGTATGACCAGAATCGTTAAGATCCACACAAGTACTCTTGATATATACCTGATTATCACCATCAAAATCATGGATAGAACTGCAGGGAAGATAAATAGAGAACATAAAGAATATTATTTGAAAATGCAGGTCAATATAAAGAAAAACCCTTTCAATTGTTATTTTTTCCCCCAGGGAAATAATTTGTTGCTATTGATCACAATTTAGATAAGGAAGGAAACTGGCTGCTGTTGTATATTTGACTTTGCTACTTGTAACACTTAAATAGCATCACTCAAAACCAGTCACCTAACTGTGGGTTTATAAACTATAGAAAAAAAAAACAAACAAACACATGCAAATGCACATGGTGACTCAAAAACAGCACAATACTGTTGTGGATTCACCACGGGGAAGACATCAGACATGCAAACATACATGCCAGCACACAAAGTGTAGAGAATGACATGTCATGTTGGTGACAAGAAAAATTACTACACATAGACAGAGATCAGTTAAATTCGGTGGTATACTTTATTGAGTAATCTATGTATTTCAGGACCAACTAACTTCTCTGACAGTCAGCAAGCTAGATGGCGTCTTATCCTTTTCTAGTTGTTTCTCCTCTAGAACTCCAGTGGATAGTCTGATCCTATGGAATAACATACTGAAGGCTACTATGGCCAAAATTCCTCTGTCTAATTTCTCAACTGAAGTCGGGGGTCCCAGGTGAGGAGACCTTCCTCAAAAAGGAGCAAAGCTGCTTGAGTTACACAGCCATTTCTGCTACCATCTACCCAAGCTAAATCCCATGTGCTATAACCTTGAGTAAAAATCTTAAAGAAGAAAGAAAAGATTTAATCCTTGCACTGGAAATACATTTCTGTAATAAAAATTTATAAAATTTTTAATTATCTAAAGGCCTATTCCACAAACAAATGAACAAAAATTTTTAAAGTTTATATTACATTCTTAAGCACCAAAAGAGAATCATTCTGATAAAAAAAATAGAATTCCAATGGCTTAACATTATTGGCACTATTTTTAATAGGATTTTTAGTTTTTTGGTTAAAGTATTCAACTATTTCAAAAAACCAAGTATTTTTTATATAAAGCTAGACTAATAGTCAAGTTTTTTGGGGCCACTTGCAAAGCCAAATAAATGGTTGGGATTTGTGTCTAGGTAACATTATTAAGGTACTCACTTTTGCAATAAATGTACAGGAACCAAAAACAGATGGGAGCCTTTCAAATATCACAGAAATAGATTTTCATATGGACAGCATTATTTCAATTGAGTCAAGTACTACCTAAGCAAAAAGAAAATACTCTCTAATGACAGGAAAGACGGAAATACAGCTTGTATCTTCTTAATGGCTATAATTGTTAACAGGCATAAATACTGTTTACTTATATCATGAAATAGCTGTTGATTCCTACAATAGTTTACTTTTCCCAACTAAGGAGGCCTATAAATAGTTCCAGATAAGGCTACATATAGTTCTAGAATAATATAGGGAGTTTTAACCTTGAAAACAAAATTTGTATTTGATTTATTATCTATTTATTGACTAGAAAACTCAGTGGCTAACAGGTGGAGATTTCCTAATTTTTCCAGCAATACATTGATACTATGCACTGCAGCAATGAAAAGAAAAGTGCATACTTCAAAAGTAATCTATCAGAAATCTAAGTTCTTAGATGGGAATACGTAAGAGAATATGTAGCCTCCCGTATAAGTAAATATACCTTTCAGGAATCATAACTAAAAACAGAGGATTGTTGATTCACTAACAGAAGCCTCCTGCTATCATATTAAAGTAGCTATAGACTTAATAACCAATGTTTGGGAAAACACCAGTTTTCTCCAATGAAAGAAAAAAAAAAGGGAATGAGTTTCAGATATATATACATACTTATATGTACATATTCTTAACTATATATAATCTGAAACAATGATTTTGGCTATGGGAAGTTAAACATTTTACAAGTATCCCCAGTTGTATTCATATTTTGGCTAAAAGACAAAACAGTCTTCTACTGCAATACTATGCAATAGCTAATAATGAGAAAAACAATTACCTAGTGATAACAAGCAAAGTCCCAATATAATTTCTTTGTTGGTCATTACTCCACTAATCAGCCTGTGTAAGACACTATTGTCACTGACAAAGGTGATCAGGGCCTCTGCAAACTTGGCATAGCAGGAAATGTTCACAGGAGCACAGCGATGGAAGAATGGAATAGGTGCACTGGTGACACAAGAAAAAAAATCAGAAAAAAAATTACTCCTACTTAATATAAATGCCACATCAAACACACAAATGAAAGGTGAATATGGCTGCAATACATTCCACCCTCCACACATCATTATGGGAGCTAAGAGCTGTGTGCTTAATGCTATGAGGATGACTGTCATGGGTAGTGATGCAAATCTTACCACAAGCCTTATCAAAGAGGGTGGAGTGCATGTTCCAACAGAAGACATTACCCTCCCCTTCTGAAAAGAAATGCACACACACGCATACACACACAGAACTACCAAAAGCAAAACCAAACACTTAAAACTCCTTAGCCTGCACATCTACCAATCAAGAGGCAGATGACAAAGCTTACAACACATACTTTATTGAACTGAAAATGAATTTTTGCCATAAGCGATTTAAAAATAAAAAGCACATGCTTTTACTTGAAATGTGCCACCATTAATAGAATGTTTCCTCTAACAAAACAGCATACGAAATCTCAGATTAATAAAGGTGTTTACGGCATAAGCTTAATACCTCTCATAGAAACAAAGTCATGCTGAGACATCAACAAACAGCATAATAGGCAGCTATTTAAAACAGTAACCATGAGTACTAATATATGGAAATGTTTATAATGTAAAAAAGAGGAAAAAAGTGTATCTAATATGATGTATCTGCATAAAAGATCATACATAATCATGAGAACAGAAAATATTTAAAAAGTGAAAAACACCGGACTTGTTACGGTCACAGAATTCTGGACTATTTTCTTTTTATCAGTTACTATTAATTTAAGATTATCTGTGTCTAAAAAGATGCAAAATAACCAATTACTTAGTCATTTATAGTAGGCTTATATGGACTGAAGCTTTTACTTGTGAAAGATTACAGCCATGCGTGAACTGTGACATTAGTCTGGTTTGTTACAACATTGTTCAACTTCTGAGAGATTTTAAACAAAGAACTATGAATATGCCTTTGGTTGTGATTTACTTGGATTCTAAGAGAACCAAATGCAAGTCCATGCATACACACTTATGTGTGCATTATGTTAAAATTTAGCCATCGCTAACATGAATCCCACATTTCCAGAACTGCTCTTATAACATTTTTTAATGGTATCCATGAAAATATGTTGATAGAGCTTTAAGTCGCAGCTACAACATTTTTGACTGGAATGATATAAATGTGTTCTCATTCTTGGTTGGCACTGTGTTTTGGTCCAATGAGTGAATAAAATTACATGGTTGGGCACTAAAAGGTTTCTAAGCTGAGCAAAGCAACTTTGTATGACTTGGAGCAAAACGCTATCCTTGTTCCTTCCTTGAAAAATAATGTGTCTTTTCAAATAAGAGTATAAGCACACTATGTATCAGTTTCCCTTAAATGTTAGTAAACGAGCACCATTAGTGGTAAGAATAAGTAACATTTTCTGTGCTGTCATATTTTGTGGAACATTAAAATAATATAATTTTAAAGATCCAGCCTTGCCTTGGTCTTGCTTTAGTAAATATATAAAAAAACGATGACATAATAATATGACATTAATATTCATTTTTAAAAATTGCCTCTTGTGTCCCTGTGTATTTGTGTAAACCTCCAAAATGGTATTAGTGAAAGTTAATGCCAAAGGTTTGATATTATATCAGAAAGTGCAGGAAGCCAGGGCATTCTAAGAAATGCTTGAATTATAGGTATTCAGGTCATTGTTTTTTAACCAAAAAGTGCTTTGCTAATGATATAAAAAATATTAAATTATAGAATACCTTTAAGTGAAGTAGATTTAGTTAAAAATATGAGAATCAAAAAGATTAACTCTAATTTTTTTTTTTTTTTTTTTTTTTTTTTTTTTGAGACAGTCTCGCTCTGTCACCTAGGCTGGAGTGCAGTGGCACGATCTTGGCTCATTGCAACACTGTAGCCTTCACCTCCCAGGTTCAAGCGATCCTCCTGCCTCAGCCTCCCAAGTAGCTGGAACTACAGGCACGTGCCACCATGCCTGGCTAATTTTTGTATTTTTAGCCAGGATGGTCTTTGTCTCCTGACCTTGTGATACACCTGCCTTGGGCTCCCAAAGCGCTGGGATTCTAGGCATGAGCCACTGCACCCAGCCTTAACGCTAAATTTCTCTAGATTTCTAAGTCAATGGAAGCTGATTTGTGACAGAAACCTTTAAGCTGACAACTCTGTCATGATGAAATTTCTGATGTTGTTTAGATGCTGTCTCTGCAAGTTAATGTCTCTGCCTAAGGACTCTTCTAACCATATTTTTAAACTAAAGCCTGGTTCTCTATCCTTCAAAACTAAAATCATCTCTGTTTCATGATTATCTATATCTCCATCCTCTTTATTTATTACCCTATCATCTCTGATTTAGTCTCTGTTTAACTCATTTGCCTCCAACCTTGAACATAAAATATATCCACTTAAGGATACTAATGTCTTTTTCTTGTTTTCAGTACCCACTATTTTTCTCGGCCCAGCTTTCTTGTTTTCTTTTTGCTGCCAGGTAACTATAAAAGCCCCAATTCTTCTAACCTTGCACCCTGCATGTAACTCCATTTCTCTCTTACTTTCTCCATTGGAGTAAGTACTCTGCAAGTCTCTTCAGCTCATCATCATCATCCAAGAGGGCACCCATAAATCGATGACCCAAAATTACATAGGAACAGATGCCCAATAAGTTCAGTGTTTTTCTTCTTTTCAAATTTAGGATGAGGAGAGATGATTTTAAAAGAAAATGACTATAACTCTCAAAATGAAAACCCTTCATTTTTATTTAGGAGGAAATGCTGGGTAATATCTGCTCTGAACTTACCCTTTCAAACATTTTTACACTGTTTATTAACACTTGTCCAATTGGAAAGAGTACTTTTATAAGTATCCTTCAAAGAACTGGAGCAAAAAGCAACAGTCCTTTACACCAAAATTCAATCTATGTCAGTTAAAAAAAAAAAAACCAACCTGATGCTCTAAATTTAAAGGTATAAAATTAGCACAAGCTGATTACATTGTTTAGCTGATAGTCAAAATCTGTTCCTAGTGGTAAGGAATAACAAAAATAGAAGGCAAACATAACAGGAAATAATATATAGGCACATAATTCAAAAGTAAAATAAAATACTTAGCTTTAAAGTAAAAAGCACGAGATTTGCTTGTTTGAAATCCCAACAAACTAGATTTCCTTATTTGTCATTCTTTTTCTCAACTTTTCCCCAAATAATAACAACTCTGCCAGCCACAGGGTTTTTGATACTTGAATTGTTTTCTTATTAAAAAAAAAAAAGTGCTCACTTCACCAGCACATATACTAAAATTGGAACGATACAGAGAAGATTAGCATGGCCCCTGTGCAAGGATGACACGCAAATTCGTGAGGCGTTCCATATTTTAAAATCAAATTAAAAAAAACAACAACTAAGTAACAATTGTGTCATTGAAATGGCTTGTTTTATATTTTAGCATTTAAATCCCACATGATTTAATGAATTTAGGTGGAGTTGAACTCACTGATTTCATATGCCTCTGAGAAAATAATATTTCTTAGGAGCCAGTATATGAGATCATTTCTACTTTAGTATCTTACCTAAAAGATACATTTTATGCTTCTTAATTAAAAGGACAAGCAGAAGGTATTCTATATACATTAAGTTTTTCCACCTTTCAAAGCCCATCAAATATTGAATCTTGAAGATGTTAACGTAGTCACATTAGGAAGTGATGTTGTTTCACTTGCTGAAGCAGTCAACAAGAACAAAATAAATTTACAATGAGCCTTTAAAAAAGTTTTACATTAGTTCCTCATATGAAAATTATATCTTACCTTGGCAAACATTGTACATTTACCTTTAAGTTCAGATCATCACAGTTAATAAGCTCCTTAAAGTATGATAACAAACAATGCCTAATACCACTTGTCCATGTGCCTTCACAAGAAGACAGGAGTCTGCTGCAACTCATATCATTGCTTTAGATCCTCAGGTTATAAATAAACAATTACATATGATTTGTAGCCAAAGTTTTATTTCAGAAAGTATAACAATAAAGTATTCTGGCAATATCTCTATAGTACACTAAAGGCAGGAAATACGAGACTAAATATGGAGTGGTATTTCTTTTATCTCTTCTTTCGCCCCTTTTAATACGTTTTTATTATTTATTTATTTACTTTTTATAGAGAGATAGGGTCTTGCTATGTTGCTCAGGCTGGTTTTGAACTCCCAGGCTCAAGCAATCCTCCTGCCTTAGTCTCCCAAAGTGTTGGGATTACAAGCATGAGTCACTGTGTTCAGCCTTCTTTCACTCCTATACTCTTTATTGTTGTTGAGCACTGACTATGGTATAGACTACAACATCCTGGATTCAAATTCCAATTTGTAACAATTAGCTGTATGGTTTTAGATAACTTAACTGTAACCTCTCTCATCTTCTATTTCCCCATCTACAAACTGGGGGCAATATCTTGATAGGTTTTTGTGAAGGTTAAATGAGATAATGTATATGAGCAATACTGTGGGATAGCTGGCACATAGCAGATGATTTGTAAATGTTAATTTATTCTTGAATCCTCCATTGAAAAACAGGAACAGATAACATTTTTTCTTGGCTATTAATTTCTTTCTTTCTTTTTTTTTTTTCAGACAGAGTCTTGCTCTGTTGCCCAGGCTAAAGTGCAGTAGTGCAATCTTGACTCACCGCAACTCCACCTCCCAGGTTCAAGCAATTCTCAAGTCTTAGCCTCCTGAGTAGCTGGAATTACAGGCATGCACCCCATGCCCAGCTAATTTTTCTGTTTTTGTTTCGCCATGTTGGCCAGGTTGGTCTCGAACTCCTGGCCTTGAGCAATTCACCCCCCTCAGCCTCCCAAAGTGCTGGAATTACAGGCATGAGCCACCACACCCAGCCTTTGGTTATTAATTTCTCATCTTTACATTATTGTATCATTAATTTCCCAGAACCTAGTAACCTTTCTGGCATCCAGAGGTACCTAAATATATGATGAATAAAGTGAATTTATGTAATCTGCTTCTACTATTGCTATTTTATCTGGCTATTTCTAAAAGCATTGTAAACATGCAGGCTAGTTATTCCCTATCTTGCCACCATGGTTGGCATTTCACCAATAGAGAGTTATGAATCTGGATAAAATACAACTCTTTCTAGGCATTTATTTTTAAAATTCAAAAGCTTTTAGGAATGGTAATCATCTGGTTATTATGTGTCACTAATACTTTAGTGAAAATTAGTTTACAATTGCTTTTCTCTAAAACAGGTGCTGCTTTTAGCTATAAAAGATCCCTGGATACCCAGGAAGGATGGGCCAAAGGAAGAGGTTCTAGAAGTTTAGAGAAACACCTCCTAAGTCTAGTGCCAAGCACAGTAATGGATGTTTAATGTATATCATCTGGTTTAATTCTTACAATTCCTTGAGGGGAATATGACTATTCCCATTTCACACATGAGAAAACTTGCTTTACAGAGAGGTTAAGAGACTTGCTCAAGCTGACAAATAGAAAGTAATTACATGGAATTCACCCCAGACTTATCTCAAACTTCACGTTCTTCTGTCCAATAGTATGCTCCTAGAACACCAAAAGAGATGTCAAAGATGCTGAGGGGTGCATGCCTGCCCCATAGTTTTACCAGGTGCTGGTCTTTGACCATTAAAAAAAGTCACCAAAAACATAGTCCCTACTAGACTACGAGTTTAAGGACAGAGACTAGATCTTACTCATGTTTGGAGACTTGGTATCTAATACAAAGGTGTGTGGAATGGGGCAATGCCCCAGATCTTTTTATTAAAACAAATTTATTCTTATTCTTGGATCCTTTCAGTTTGTTTACCTAATATTAAATAGCTCTGATATTTACAAGATTTGCCTTCTTTTTTATCAACTGTTCTTCTCTCCTTTCCAACTGGCTTAGTTCAGACAAAAGTGATAACAAACTTGGACTGTGATGTACTAAAATAAGTAAAACATAAGGATCTTTAAACGCAGCATAAACACAGCATGCAGTCAGTTTTCAGATGGTATAGGTTCAGCACTGCATTTTAGATTAATGAGATATCAGATGATGATCTTGTTAGAAGCCATTTCTGTCCATCTCTAAAATCTTCTCCCCTAATACTATGCTCTGTCTTCCAGTGAATATCCCTAGGACATTGTGAGATGCATGTGTGCACCAAAAACTGGAAAATCCAAGATAACCAGGAACAGACAGTCCTCAACATGGTGGCTTCAGAGGTCAGAGGCATGGAAGGAGGTGCAGGATGAGCTGAGCTGCCCCACCCCACATCCAACCCCCATTAAAGGGGAGCAGAGACCTCCCTCTCACACCCAGGCTTTCTGGCTGTCCTGTCATAATATGTTTTAATCTTGAAAGCATGATTCTACACTCAAAGTAGACATTTAAAACAGACTTTACCACTTGGGTAGATAATGGTATAGACCTTTTCTCATTTTTATATGGATAAATTTTCTCCTAAGACTATTCAAAAGATTTCCTTTACTTTACTGCCACAGCCTCCCTAATATTCTCAATTTTTATGAATGCAATCTCCTTACCTGTTGGTTTAAGGCCATAATTTGTAGGTCTTTCTTACTATCTTTCAAAATAGTCCCTTTATTTTTATGTCTACAGGCGTTAAATTTTGATTTTCAATAGCAACTTCACAAGATTAATGAGCTAAAAATATATTTAACTGATGCATTTTTTGTACTTTCAACAGAAAATTTCAAATTCAAGCTAATAAACCCCAAGTTACACCCTTAAGTAATCCAAAAGAAAGTAGACATGAGTCCCCAAAATTTTTATACAACAGCTTCTATAATATATTGAGATACAATAAAAGTGGCCTCAAGTCAATTTTCCTGAAGAAATTGACTCATGTTACACATAGTTGGCAATATACACTAAGGTGGTGATCTGACCAACACTCCAAAGTGTGTGGGTGTGTGTGCACACACGAGCGCATATACAGAAATATACACATACGCATATACATATACCTACCTAATTCTGAGGATACATTCTACAAGGTTTGATAATTCATTTCCTTTCAAAAATCTATTTATAATGTTAAATGTTGCTTTACTTATAACTACTTTGAGATCCTTCCAAGGAACATTTCTTGTTTCATCTTTGTATCTATTAACGCACAGTAGGTACTTAATAATAAATGTTTGTTGAATAAGACCTTGGATAAGATATAGCAAACAATGTAATACAGAGAATGTTACATAAAAAAATACAACCTGAAAGAAACTATGGGGAATAATCACTGGCATATGTTCTAAATTTATGAAGTAAATAAACAATCCCAGTAAATATTACTGGGATCAATTCTAAAACTCTTTGGAGATTGTGAAAGTTGGTTTCTGACTTTGTTGCAGATTTCATAGCAATTCAGTGGTTTTGTGTACTTAAAAATTATGGCATGAAAATAAAAACAAAAAAAGCAAGCCCCCTAAAAGAAATTTAAAATAACTCAGAACAAGAAAAGTTGGTTGTCTGTGTTACTTTTAAATATGAAATAATGTCATTTCTATTGCTACTTTAAAATTTTTGTTATAAAAGTATTGGACCTGGCCAACAGGTATCATCAAATGACTATTTTCTCAGAATAACATATATTGTTTAAAATTTACCTACAAAAACAATAGTCACAAGTTAACAACTTTGCAATAAAATTTACCTCGCTGGAACTGGTAGTTTTGGGCAGAGAACAGAAGATTTTGAAGATGTAGTGTATTCAGAAGGCTTTAGGTTGTAGCTACATAGTGCTGAACCTGTTAAAAGAAAAATTATATGTCAGCTGGCTCAACAGTCTGAAAAAATTCTCTTACAGATTCATTTTAATTTTGTATTATTCAACATATTCAACTTTCCAAACATCACAGAATTCATAAAAATCTGATTTGATCTATATTATCAGTCTTTAATCATTTAAAACCGATTCTTCTCTAAAATTACTATTAATGTAATTCATGTACAAATTTTAATTAATATTAAAGGTAATAAGTACTAGAACTACCTTTATTGAGTGTCAGGTTATCTGCAAGATGACATTTATGTATTATAAAATTTACTATAACTCTATAAGGCAGGTTTTATTAGGCCTACTTTAGAGAGAAGGAAATAGAGGCTAAGAGATAAGGTAAATAACTTGCCTAAGAACACAGAGCTAGTAAGAGTAGAGCTGGGATTAAACACCACATCTCTTTGATTACAAAGCCTGTGCTCAACTACACATTATGCCTGTCTTTCCTATGCTTTCCATTACTAAATGTTTACAATTACCGCATATAACACATGTAAATTCAGACAATACATGAGCAGAAAAAAAAAAGCAGGAAAGCAGGAAAACTGTAAGGGTAGCAGGAATCAATTCTAACTATAAATAAACTGAACAAATTGATAAAACTGAAAAATTGATAAATATGATTCCTAGTTTTCGGAGTTTAAGGTAGCTTACATTCAACTTTAGATTGGTTATGCAAAAAAACCATTAATTTTTCTGATTATATGGCCAACACATATCTAATATATGTAAAATGTATATAATGTAAAATTTATGTACTACATTTATATATTATATAATTTAGTATAACTCTATAAAGCTGGTATATACATTTTCTTAAAATAGAAAATTGGGATGAATACAATCCACTAAATCCTATATAAGTCTTATTTTACTGACCTGCTAATTTTAAAATACAGCAACTAGAATACTCAAAGGTTCATTGTATAATATATTGTTAAGTGAGGAGACCTAGGCTCCAGTTCTAATTTTGCTGCATTTAATCACATAAACTGTTTATATTTGATTAACTGATATTCCTACCAGATTACTAATTTGGTCAAATACTTTATTCTTAAGTAAACAGAATAGCTTTGCATTTGTATTATGATAATGAACTTTTATATTATACCACCAAGGAAAAAGCTTAAAATATAATGTGAACAGCAGACTGCAACACTGCATTAATCATGGAAAAGGCATGTAAGCATATGAGAAGGAACTGTAAGGGAATATAGAAAAAAGATTCATTTAATAGTACAACAAAATTGGGAGCATATTTGTTTCATTTATATCTTGTCCTATCAATCAAAATAATTTTTAGAAAGGCAACCATTAACTGAGCAATGCTGCACCAAACCAGCAAAAAACCTAAGTGTTTAAATATGTGAGCCTTAATAGCATACCGAAATAAGTACATGTAGCATATATTTTATATATAGTCCCACTAATTTGACAATGCAAAATATTTTTAAAGAGATAATTACAAGTTACATGGCAGTTCTTCAAGCTTTTTAATTTAAGATAGCCTCAGTAAGAAACTAAGTTTTAAAAATTGTGCTTGACTATTCTTTTCCATTTTAACAATCTATTTTTTTTAAAAAAGGTAAGCATGAATATTAAATATTTAACTCTGCTAAGAGTAATGTCTTTCATGCTTGAATATAATGCCACTAGATTACATTTATAGCAATTTTGCAGAAAACATGACAACAATGGCAAGCAAACATTTTAGACTAATCCTGAAATAGCTAGGTATCCTAATACAGAACTGCTTATGAAAAATAGCAACTGTGCCAATAAGTGCAGAGCACCCAATGTGATCATCAACTTCCTGATCTGAACTGTCAACTTATTTCTTTCAGAGTCCAAGATGGAATCGACTTGAACAAAATAAAAGGCCCTAACTAAAGCACTTTGTGTCAGTGCTGCCAAACCCACAGCTTCATCTGAATTCAGTTAGCATAATCTCTATCCCCACCCTTTCTTCATTTAAAAAAGGAGGTCAGCAGGTGCAACGAAGTTCAATTTTATAAATACTTTCCCAGGATAATACTCAATGAAAGGATAATAGCCTTATCTCTGATGGTGTTCTGGGACACAGGCCAGTGCTAAATAGATCCTGTGCTAAACAGATTAAACGAAAAAGATCTTTACAATGTGTTAGTAGTAATAATCATAAGAAATCTTATACTACTTCCTGCTCAAAGGGTTGATGAACAGAGAAGCCTCAATGAAGAACATTAAAACAGTGCAGCAATGGCAAAGATTTTACAATTGTATTTCTTTCATGTTCATTAGTTAAGGCATTTTCAGTGACCATTTTGAAAGTAGAATCTGTTTTATTTTTTTACAGTGAAAGTATAAATAATACTTAGCACACAAAGTTTGGATATAACCAGTAAGACAAAGTTTTCCTTCTAACGCAATAGCAGGTAAAAATTATACATGAGTAATGAAAAGCAGAAAACTAAGAATAAAAGCTTATCTAAAGCACACCAGATGCAATCCATGCAACTCAGCCAATATTATTCAGACTATCAAAATGAGTGAGCTTAGGAATCCTAACTTTAGTGTAAAAACACTTATCATGGTAAATGGTTGCTATGGCCCCCAGAATGTTTAACTACTACAATTTCTCAAATGCTGTATAATAGTCAATTATTTACTTTTATTTATTATTCTTTAGCTCAATATCAGTTACATCAGCTCCCCTAAGAGGTACATTTCCATCACTACACTCCAAATATTACAGATGAAAAATAAAAAAAGTAATACTTCCAAGGCCTTAAATGTAATTGGTGGCTTATTTAGAAGTGGAATTCTTTGCCCCTAAGCTGCCATGCTTCCTTTGTGCCATTCCTAATACTCATAATTGGGCAAGTATTCAATAATCTCCTAAACAAAACAAAACAAAATATACATATATGTTCTACAGATACCCCAAAAAGAACATCTCTGGAGAAAAATTAGTTCCACCATGTACTTTTCTGCCTGTATATTTTCTGTCCTGGTTAATGGTTCCATCATCTGTGAAACATACAAGTCATCCTACATCTTTTTTATTTACTGTCTTCCTATACCATTCAAGAGATACCGCATCCTGAGGATTGGACCTTCCTATGTTATCTTAGACTTTCATGATCTCCTACAGAGTCAGTTAAAATACTCTTTTAAAGTGTTTCTCATCTCCATCCTGCATATAACCATCAGAATGGTCTTTGTAAAATGAAAATTAGTCATACTATACCCCTATCCTCAGGATGAAGTCCAAACATCCTGGAATCAAGATCCTTCTAAGGCAAGTTTCTACCTTAAACTCCAGGCTCATCTCAACATAATAAACTACTTGAAATCAGTGCTTGCTGTTTAACAAGCTTCCAGGCTTCCACACATGCTGTTCCCTCTGCTTGTTCTATCCTTTCCCAGCTAGCACCTGAGTGTTAACATCTGAGCAGAATTTCTACACATTATTCAAACTTCATTTCTTCTGTCAAGCCTTCTCTGACTCACCCAACAAAGCTATTTACTACTTAGCTCTGTGATAAAAACATGGCATATGCTTTTGTAATTTTTTGTTTATATATTATCTCTGTTTTTGTAATGCAAACTCTTTGAGAACTTGAACCTTATGGCTTTGGAATGTCTGGAACCTATATTTCCTGGTACACAGATGTCATCCAAAAGCCTTCTGTTGAATAAAATAGATATCCTGAGTGGGGAAAAGATAAAATAATTGTTTTGAATCTATTATGTTTTGTGTTATATACAATGTTCAGATGCTTTTCACCATTTGCTACAAAGTATACTATATAAAACAAGTTCCTCAATCTTGCTATTAGGACATTTTGTGCTGGACAATTCTTGGTTGTAGGGGGTTGTCCTGTGCATTGCAAGATGTTTAGCAACATCCCTGGCTTCTGTCCACTAGATTCCAGTAGTCTCTCCCTAAGCTCTCACCACAGCCAAAAATTTCTCCAGACATTGCCAATTATCTTAGGGGAGGCAAAAGCACTCTTAGTTGTGAACCAATGGTTTAAAACAGCACATTATTTGAAATAAAGATACAAAACCAAGAGAGGCTATGTTGAAGGCTAATTTTTCTTGCTTTAAAATTTTGTTTAATTTACCACCACAATATTTGTATGATGGATTAAAGAAGAAATATTCTTTAAAACATGATTTAGAAATTTGAAATTAATAGAAGAGAGAGTCTCTCAATGCAGAACAGTTTTTATTATGAAAGATTTCCATTGCCTTGTGATGTCTAATGAATTTAACCTCTTTTTCTCTAATTAGGAAACCACTATTTATATGCTGAGAGAATGGAAGATAATTTTCCAATTTTAATTCCTAGTAACCCATGAAAAATATGGACATATTTGCAACTCCCAAGAAGTATCCACCTACAGAAATTATCCACGTAAGAATGTGGCATCATCTGTCAACCACTGTTGGCACATACTAGGCACACATAATAAATATTTGCTGAGTGAATTAATTTTGAACATCCATGTACAAGACTTCTGCTGGGTGTTGTGGAGGCTAAGGAGAATTCTGCAACTATACTGCAAACTCCTTAAATGTGAGCACTGTACTTTGTATCTCTGATGCATACTTAATGGGTACCAAGTATTTGTTGAATGAAAGAATTAAACTGCATTATCAAATGTAAGAATTTTCCTTCTTTTTAAACAACCAAGAATCCTTGCTGATCTCTGACTTGGAGGCAATTCAGTTGCTAGAGTTGATCATTTCATTCATTTATAAATGATATCAAGTCAAATCTTTTGACTTACTGTGCCAAAAAGAATACATAATTAATCTAGAGTTTAAATTTTACTGATGCTGACTGGTAAGAAAAAGGATAATATGCTGATCATCTATTGATACTGTCTCTAACAACCAGATAACAATAATCAAAAGATTTATTAGTATTCACAACTAGCATTATCTGAATGGACCACACAATCAGTTAGTTTTTAATGG